ACTAGACAGTCAACATGTATATGAACTCATAAAAAGGTGACTGTCTACTTCACCCACTGACATATACCTACATAGGAATCTAATTTGTTGTTTACTTTTTGACCACTGCAGAGAGGCTCCGCCTGGTATCAACTCAGCTCTCTTGACCTTGCTGAAGGACTACCCCCCGTAGAGTTCTTGTGCTGTTTTCGCTTCCTTTTTGATATTTCTTCACTGAAAAACTCTATTCAATGTTTACTGTGTTCTATCACAGAAACACTCAGAAATTCAGTTTACAGTTCAGAAACACTGTACCATTCATAAAAAAGCTGTAGTGGCTGTGCTATGTCTTCTGATGGAACCCAATCAGGTCCCGCACCAACACTTCACAGATGACCAGGCAACGTCTTCGTTCGTTAGGAGGGTTTTAACACTTTCAGTTCAGAAGAAGGGTTGATTTCGAGATGGAAGAGCAGTTGTCTATGAATGGGCCGCTATACTGACCGAACCGATGCAAGTGCCTTTAAAAAGTTTTGACTACTCTCCCTAAGGCTACCTGGGAGGGTGGGCTGTAAATTTCAACCTGAGGTTTCTTCCGCTGAAGCCTCACAGACATTTATTCACCCTGAAAGTGTTCTGTAAGGGATAGCGTATAACTGAGAGGAAGAGCGCAAAGAAAGTGCAAGAAGCTCCAGCCCCCTGTCATGAATACCCGAAAGTGGGAAAGGGAGTGGAAAGAAGAGCGGGAAGAAAGTAAGCAGGCGCCATTGGGATTCTACTTGAGTGCTCATTATTGGTCAATCAAATAAGAAAAAATTTATGAGGCATTCAAAGACCATTTCAACTTTAACTTCAAAACTCATCCTTAGGGAAGCCATTAGGAAAATCTAGGACTTCATTGACTATGGGGCAGGGGATACAGACCTGTGTTTGTCAAAAATTCCTGTTCTCTATTGAACTTGGTGGGCAATGACCGGAAGCAGGCAAATTTGATGCTCTGCAACTTTAGCTATTTCTATCCATTACAATGCTCGATTACATCATTTGAAGGTTAGGTGGCTATTGATCACAATATCTAAATAATCAAAATTAAAACTAGAAACAACAGTGGTATAAATAGAGCCATTTTTGAACTAATTCAGGTTTTTGCGATCTAAAAATGGATTTATTGATGTTTTTCTCCGATGATGATTGAAATTTTGTTGAGACGTGCTACATCCCATTCCCAACTGAAATCGAAGTAGCAGTAGAACGTGTATCTAGTCTATACGGTAATTCAAAAGGCTGGTCTATACGCTATGTCATGTTTCATATTCTCCCAGGAGAGCCTCTCGCTATTCCAGGCACTCCTTCTACGTTACCAAAGCTAATTCTGCCCTTGAAAATTGAGATAAATGACCACAATGATGGATGTGAGTCTCTTACTCATCTCAGTTGAAGGATAATGAAGAGTGGTAGGAAACTGCCTGAGAAATGCGTTCCGAGAGGGTTTGAGAGAGTTGAAGAGAGTTTTTGCCCTACATCAGCGGTAGCCGTTCCACTCACTGCATTGTTGGTCTTTTACGTCTCGATAACAAATGGAATTTATAACCATCGAGTTAAATTCATCGCCATAGCAGTCGATCCCCACGTACTAAAAGGTCATTCTTCAAGTTAATTGAGCACCCTCTGTAAAGGACAAGACAATCGAATGAACTCTATGCCGCACCCTTTTTTATTTGCACTGATCATTCGAGCTACTGATAGGTTCGTATTTTATTTCTTCACTCGTGATTCCTACAGATCCCTGGCTCATTCCTTGAGTATGAGTCGAGAACTTGGTGGCTGAAGGTGTTCGGTGTAAAAAAAAATTTTTGCATCGTTTGATGACTAATATTTTTTCCTGACTGGAGTCGAATAAAGTACCGTACCTATACCCGATGTTCTCGATCTTTGTAATGGACTTCACTTCATATGCTATTCGTTATACTGATAGGAACTCATAAAACCCATTACTCATCGTTAATGCTAATATTAACTTGGCTGGAACCTTAGATTCACCATCCTCACTATAGGGCTATTTCGAAGATAAGTCAAAAACTTGAAAATTCAAACTAATGCTGTCTGTAACGCAAAATAACCGATATTTCGGGTCACTGGGGGCGAATCAACTTACCAAGCGCTGCAAATTCTACATTTTGAAGCCGAAAGCGAATATCTTGAATACTCGATGAAATTTTTTTAATAAGTATATCTTACCGTACAAGAGTTCAGAATGCTACCGGGTAGCCTATGTATACTACTAAAGATGTTTTGTTGGGAGAACTGGTACAATTACCTTATATGCATGTATCAGGGGTGTCAGTTACCAAGACGTACTTCAGGACAAGTTCGGTGGAATCAATTGATGTTTGGGTAGGGTTCACTTTGTCGTCACGTGAAAATCCGGTTTTCAACCCTAGTAGGGCGTTTTATAGTTCCAAGGCGATCATACCTTCTTTGTTCCCATCTACTTCTTACTAGTAACGTACTTCTCACTTCCTGTTTTATTCCCGGTTAGGATTACAGGGTATATTTCCAAAAGAAACCATTTTTACAAATCTCGTTCACACAGTTTTTCATTAAATTTTCACCGAGCTCATGCTTGGCTCGAGTCCGAGTTCCACATCTGTGAGGCATGCAATGGACCATCCTGCCTCTGGATTGGCACAAGTCCAAGTTTGAAGCATCTGACTCCTAAATCTTAGCGATTTGTAAAATGCAATAGAAAATCGAATCATGGAAACGTAGAGAAGTCACCTTTTCGTGCATTTTTTGAACAGCAGCCA